AGTTATAAACCAAAATAACCAAATACTTATTTTACCACTTGGATGTATATACACGGATTTCAGTGACAAAAATAAAACTAGGGAAAGTAGGGTGTTTAAAGGTAGGAAGAAAATTAATATTCACTATCAGCTTATTCACTTAAAAACAAAATCTACTTGACCATTTGTGTTTCAAAAACACAGTGTTCACAATATTTATTATTATGTGACTCAAAGAGTCCTTCTTTTTATGCTGGAATTTTAACAAATCTCCATCTTTCACTCACATTCTTTGCTCCTCATAAGAGAGAGAAACAAAGGGCTTTGACAGATTGTGCTCCTCCTCAATCTCAACTATGGTGCAGACAAAAACAGAAATGGAAGTAAAGGAAGAAAGATAGTTAATCCACAATGTTTGTCTTTGTTTTCTTTGATCCCATCAGCGGATTTATCTATGATGAAGATGATGATCAGTTGATGAATTGTCTACCCTCTCTTGGCTGCCATCTAGAACTCTGGATTTAGGCAGCAAAGATATAGTCAGTAGACAAGTATTCCTGAAGAGCTGGAGTTTGAAAATGGGATTTAATTGTGGAAATCTAAGTCAGAACTTTACACTAACCAAGGACATAATATAAGGAGTGGAAGTGGGAACACAGGACTTCCCTGGAAACAGCAGTCAAGGAGAAAGGAATTCCCCATCATGCAGGCTACAGAAATACAAGAACTGAGTTGTTTCCATCACATGACCTGAACCAAGGCTGGTCAGTTTCAAGGCTTCACAGTCTCCTTGTTGATCAACCCATTTAAACAAAAAACACAAAAGTAGTTGTCTTTCCTGTAGACCAAAGAAGACTGAAGGGTGGGTAAAAAAGGTGAAGTCTCACAGAAAACCTTCAAAGCCTACTGGAGCCTTAAAACTCCTGCTCAGAGCATGCTTTTAGGACCTCTCCTTGATGCACATCAATGTGCTCTATATAGAATAGAATAAGTTTATTATCACTTTAAATGTACACTAATCAGCATACATTAAAATGGAATTGCGTTGCATTCAGCTCTCAAAAAAATACTATTATCCATATACCTACATACACACACATATACGACACAGAGAAAAATCACAATCTAGTTCGAATGTATACATATACATCACAAAAAAAAAGGATCCTATGAATTTACAAGATGGATAGCATAAGGAACAAAGCTGTTAAAGAATCTAGTAGTACTGCTATAAATACTTCGAAACCTCCTTCCAGAGGGGAGCAACAGAAACAGACTGTGAACTGGGTATGTGGGGATCTCTAACAATGCTCAGAGCTCTAAGCGCTATGTATAAGCAGTATCCTGAATAATGGGAAGTGAGGACACTGAGACACAGTATATGATATGTATTCAGGGAACCATTAACCATTAAGAGCCGAGGTGGCGCAGCAGTTAGAGTGCAGTACTGCAGGCCACTTTAGCTGACTGTGTTCAGCAGGTCAGCAGTTCAAATCTCACCGGCTCAAGGTTGACTCAGCCTTCCATCCTTCCAAGGTAGGTAAAATGAGGACCCAGATTGTTGGGGCAATGTGTGTGTGTGTATATATATATATATATATATATATATATATATATATATACACACACACACACACACACACACACACACACACATATACATATATATATATATATATATACACACACACACACACACACACACATTGCTTACTGGTGTACACCACTTAGAGAGTGCTTGCACTTAAAGCGGTATATAAGTCTCATAAATAAATAATGCAGTGTCCTTACTGTATGGCAAAATGGCTGTGTAGATTTCCCCAGACAGCAAGTGCATAAAGAAGCAAGTGGCCTTGTCCCCCTCCTGTATGTGGTGGCTATAACTGCATGTTTAGTATTATGCTCAAAGACTGAGTGAGATTATGGAGAGTATTAAAACTCATTTACTTTGTATCAACACAGGTTGTATGTATAAACTTAATATGTGGACTTTTCATCCCAATTTAACTTCTCCATATACAAAACACAATGATACAAATGTTGATCATTTTCCAGGGGTTTAGAAGTCAAGATACAGAGATCAAAATATTTTAAATGAAGAGATATGGAAACAGACCTTAAACTACTGTATGTCATTAATTCCCCCCCCCCTTCCAGGATCTATATGTATTGTGAAGAGTTAAGCTAAAATTAAGTTGGCATCAGTGGGACCAAGTGACAACCAGACCTTAATCTGAAAAATCAAGTATGGTACTTATTAAAAAATATCTTCATAGGTAACAAAAATTACCTGTAGCAGGATAACCATCAATCAAATCTATCACAAGACAGGATATTAGAAAGTAATCTAATTGTGATTGAATACAATTTCTATGATTAATTCTAGTCTGGCCAGAAGGCAAATGATGGAAGACATATTATTGGTCTTGGAGACTTAGGGGTCAAGGCCAGGATTAAAGCTTTCTGTTGTGATATCTTTGTACTATATTCTCTCCTGTTTACCTGATAATTCTCAGCCTGAGCAACTGTGTGTACTCCTATGGGAATGGAGTAACAAATCAATAGAAGTGAAAGTAGCAAGTCATCTTTCCTATTCTAGAAGCAGAATTACTAACTGGCACATCCTATTTTGCCTCATGATGGCATCACAGAAAGAACCAGCATCCAAAAGAACCTGTCTACCATGGTTAAACCCACCAACTCTTCTAGTCACATAAATTGATAAAAATATGCATTTTATTTAAGCAGTTCTGTGTGTATTTAGGAAACTAAGGACACTATGTTACTTTTTAAATAGAGAAATGTAGTGCATATGCTATTTAAACTAAAGCCTCAGCATCATAACTGGTTGCAGGTAAACAGATTCCAGAAAACCCCCTATGCTATTAGAAGTTGGCAGGATGTAATAAAAATATCCTTACACTAAATAAAGTGTACGATAAGGAATCGCCCTAAATGACCACTCAAGTTATGTATTTAATGCCAAAAATAAACAAGCCTCTTTTTCATTGTTGATGTTTGGTAAGAGCTTTGTACATAGGATGTAAATAATTATACCTCTTTTAATAAGTATTGCAATGTAGTTTTTTTCCCTCAGAAATCCCACTGAAGTTACTATATCCTGAATTTATTTTCAGGATTGCAACCTTGCAGGACATTCAATAGATTAATCAAAAAAGACATCAATATGTTAAAGCTGATACTAGTAAAACTAGATGGGATTGACACAATCATCCAGCAAAAGCACAATAACTGCTACTTAAAATAAAAATGAGATACTTAACAAACTTCACTTTATCCATAAATGCAAGGTATTAATCAACATAGAGGACAAAGCTGTTATATTTTTGGGGTGTAGGAAACTGTCTCTGTAGATGAGATCTCTGCCAGCTGGGATCCCCTGCCAGGGCTTACAGCTATGCTATGGCTAGCAAATTGCATAGGTGGTCCTTTTTTAGTGACCACAATTGGGACTGACAATTTGTTCATTAAACAAAACAGTCACTAAGTGAAGCCACAACTGTGCTTATGATCTTACTTTAGCTCTCCTTTGCTTTACAGACCTATGCAGGTTGAAAGTGGGCGAACTGGTTATAAAGTTACTTTTTTCATCACCACTGTAACTGTGCACAATCAGTACACAATCACAAACACACACACATACATACACAAACAGTTTAACATTGTTAGGAAGCTTTTAAAACTATCCAATATCTTTTTAGTGTTGGATGGGTTAATGAATGAAATATACATACATACAAACTCATACATACATACACACATATATATATTTACCAAACCTGGCTCATTATGATGTTCAACTAATGGACCTTTAAAATGTTTTTCTGTCGCACAGTATTTTGCTATCACATCATGTCTATTCTACATTAAATAAATTGTCCTGAAAAGCAGCCCATAAATTATTTAAATTATCATAAATGAGCATAAGCAGAAATATGTATAGATAATGTTATTAATATAAATGATGTACTTTATAAATGATTATTTAAATAAAACCATAAAACATGACTTCCAAGTTACTTAAATAGATTTAGAGTATGCTGCTGCACTGATGGAAATTCAGTTGTCACTTGTGAATAAAAGAAGTAGTATTGGATGGCCACTCTCCCCTCTGAATACAGCTGCCAAGAAATACAACAAAAAAGGTCCACTGATTTTCATGTCCTAACTAGCGAGACACTACAAAACAGAGAGCTGGATGAGTCTGATTCTGAGTTCATTCAAACTGGCAATTCCTATGTTTAATCAGAGGCCCTGAGGACATCAATCTGGCCTGTGAAATTCCATTCCTGAAGTTGTGTGCTCCTCGGCTCTCAAGCATGTGGCATATCATGATGGATCCCAAGAATGATGGGATGAATGATGAGGACACCCAAATCACATCCACTTTACCTCAATTTTCCTTAAGCCCAATGTCTTGTATTCCATATGTAATGGATAACAATCCTTACCATTTCCTGCAGCTATTACTGGGAATTGGAGTTTTAATCCAATACATCCAGAAAGCTTTAGGTTGTACTAAGTAATATGGGCAGGGAAAGGGCTAAGCTTGACATAATTAAGAAATAAAAGATGATTTAAGAATAGAATCTTCTTATCTGCTTGCTAAACATAGCTTTGTTAAGCTAGGATTTTTAAAAAATCTGCATTTTTGATCAAGTATTCAAATAAGAAAAAAGGGGAGAGGGAGTGCATTTTCTAAAGCAAATAGTTATTACCAATAGCAAGCAGCAATACAAATAGTATCATAACTGATGTACAAACCTTACAAAAAAAATGGGGTCATATACAAGATTCATTTCAGGATAGGAAGGAAGAAATGAAGTCAACATGGGTCAACATGGTTCTGTGTACTTTTGTCTTGACCAAATGCATGTACATAAAAACTATTGACTTTTTTGTGTTTAATTTGCTGTGAGAAATCTGTCAGAAATTTTTTAAAATAAAAAGCAGGAACACATGAAGCATTGACAGCCAGTCCCTTCAGCTGCTGTGGATACACAGGACAAGTGTGGTGTGTGGGTTCTGCACTTATAGTATGATTGTTCCAATGTATTATAAACAATAAATCAAAGATCAAGAAGATTGAACAGACCCTTGATCCTTCAACAGGCTTCCACTCATGCTCATAAATGGATTTTCTACCTAGTTAGATCCATGTACCTGATATACAGCGAATGGAATATGGAGATTATAGTTGGATTAAAGCACAGAGCAAATATGACTTCCAGATAAAGTGGAGCAGGAAGCTGTTTCAAGTAGAATAAGCAGACTTCTTGTGCTACTCATAGGCTGAACTAATTGTATACTTTGCCTGGCTTTGTGAGGTGATATAGTGTGACTTGTTCCTGGACTGAGGGGGCCCTGCTCAGAATTCATGCCTTAGTCACCTCCTAAATGGATTTACTACAATGTGCTTTACATGGAGCTGTCGTTGAAGAGTATTTTGAGGCTACAGCAGGTGCAAACTGTGGTGGTATGGGAGGTTAGAGTGCTGGTCATTTGGTATATATGATACCTCTGTTCCATGAACAGCAATGGCTGCTGGTATGCTTCTGGGTACAATTCAAGACACTGGTGGTTTTCTTTAAAGCCCTTCATAGTTTGGAGCTGGGTTTCTTATGGGACTGTCTCTCCCCACTGCTGTTTACCCATCCTGTTAGATCTGGCAGGAGAAACATGTTCTGTCTGTCTGCTGGAGTGCCGTCTCTTGGGTTCGAGGGAGAGAACCTTTTCTGCCATAGTGCCACCTTCTGGCACATCATCCCCTCAGAAATTAGGTTTGCCCTGATCCTGCTGGCCTTTTGTAGGGCTCTAAAAAAACTGGCTTTGCCACTGAACCTGGGGCCCTGATAGAATGGGTGAGTCCGTGTCATGAGTTATTTGAGCGCTTATGAGTCTCCTTGGCTGCTATTTTTATGTCATTTTTGTTTTTTAATATTTGTGGGCAGTTTGCTGTTTTTTTATTGTTGAGGTGCCCAGAGTCATATAGATAGGGTAGGCAGCTTATAAACGTACTAAAGAAATAAATACAGTTAATGTATAATGCAATCACACTGAGGAAAAATAAATGCCTACTATAAAATAACTCATAGTTGAACAATCAATATACATGAGGCCTCTTGGACAGAGATGAATATACCTTTCTAACCTTTCTATGTTCTGAAAACAAGGGCTTTCAAATTATACCACCAATACTGAACATTCAAATCTGGAACACAGCCTTATAGATACTTACAGAATATTTATAGAGTTATGGAAATCCAAATATTCAAAGGGGCGTGAGCCCGCTTTCTCCAACAAAGAAGGCTGCTTTATCAAGCATGGAGAACATCATGGTATGCATTAGAGTAGGACACAGTTACTCGATTGTAGAATATATTTACTAGGGCAGCATATGAAAAAGGGGCTTTGCAAAACCTATTAGCAAAGCCATGCAACGTCTTTCTCAAAGCGTTAAAGAATCCGCTGCTTCTTTCATTTGGGAATGTGACATCCCAAAACATGTACAAATTGCACGGATGCTTTGTCAAGTCAGGGAAGAGTTTGTGACACATCAGTGTGATGCTTCTTTCCTCATTGGCCTTCCTGCTGCATGGCTGTTTCGAAGGCTCTCCTTTGTTGGCTCCCTTTGTAAAAGCATGCACACTGCTTTGCTAAAAGTTTCAGAGTCAGTATTATCTATACATGCACACACCTGCATTGATAGCCAGGGACAGTTTGAAAGAGGCTGTGTAAGCCTTTTAAAGTGTACTGCTAGTTAAATGCATCAAAAAGGAGTGATTCACTTGTGCCAACAGAGTTTCTGAAATACTCTACCTCTTCCAAATACTTTATTTGATAAATAAATAATAAAATGCTTTATACAATCTAATAGCTGCACCCCTCTGCTTAATTTTTTCTTCTGTTTCAATCACTGGGAATTTGGGGCTTGGACAACTTATTCTGGTAGAATGTATCATTTCCTATTTAAAAACATGTACGGAGCAAAAAATCTTCTAACAGAAAAGCAAGAAACTGCCTATTTCAATAGGACAAACAAGTCCTTACATTCCCACAATTCTGCAATGTTCCATTTTTAATGCAAAAAAAAAATATCCCATTTTTTGAATGAATTACTAATAGGAGAAGGGAGAAACAGAGAAAACCATTTTTTTTTTCAAAAAACTGGGGAAAGGAAACATGAAAATGGATGAATTAGGTGTAGACAACCTACATTAAAAAAATACAAGCTACAGGTAGTCCTTGACTTACAACAGTTCATTTAGTGAATGTTCAAAGTTAAACGGCACTGAAAAAAGTGGCTTATGACCTTTTTTCACAGTTACGACCATTGAAGCATCTCCATGATCTTGTGATTAAAATTCAGAAGTTTGGCAACTGGTTCATACTGATGACTGTTGCTATGTCCCAAGATCACGTGATTACCTCTTACAAGATTCACTTGATAACCAGATTACTAACTTATCAACTGCAGTGATTCTCTTAAAAATTGTAGCAAGGAAGGTTGTAAAATGGGGTAAAACTCACTTAACAAATGTCTCACATAACAATATAAATTTTGGGCTCAATTGTGGTCGTAAGTCAAGGATTGCCTGTAGTCTTTACAAGATTGGTGGAACCTTTGTCATACTTTACTTGCTGGAATATCCGCCACCCCCCCACAGATAATAACCTAGTTCTGGCATAGTTATTCATTCTTTTCTTCGTTTGCTGCAGAGGAAGGATAAATTTAAATTAAACCCCAGAGGTGCTTGCTGAAGATAAGTTCCCAACCCCTTCTCAGTTTTAGTACAATTAAAGTAAATTCATGAATGGAGATTGGCATCCCAAATAATAATAATAATAGAAACCCAGCCTGACACAACATGTTTGGTCAAGAAAACTTTCCACCATAATTAGCATTTTCTTGGTTTAAGGGTGGAGCTACCACACAGTGCAACTTTAACACAGAAGGCACAAACAGTATAAAATGACTCAGGATGTTCCTTGAAATAACAACTTCTGCTCTGCACACCTGTAGTGGAAGGACTCATGAGCCAAGATTGCTCCATTACACATTTCTAATTCTACAACATGCTGGTATGCTACAATTCTATCTGGCTTGGCTTCCAAGATCTCTAAGTGCAACAGAATTTTTATTCATGTGCTCACTAATGGCACTTGAGAATATTCTAATTAGAGTTAGTGCAGAAGGCTTACGTCTGCATGAGTTGCTAACTGGGCTTGCTTTCTGAAACAGGGGGAGCCAGATTCTGCTTTTGGAAACTTCAGTGGGTTTATATAGGCACAGGACTGGCAGCTATGTAATTTTCTCCTCTTTTTCTTTCTGAATATATTTGCATACTGGGGTATTATGCAGTTCATATTGAACATGCAACAAAATATAACTAGATCTCTGATGCTTACTATGCCTACATTTAAAAAAGAATTATTTAAAGCCTATACTCCAATGAGCTGCATTGAGGCAGAATGTTTATGTATTTACTTCAACTTTGTAGGGATAGAAAGAATCCAAAGCTCAATTCTCCAAATATGTACACAAATACCATTTTTTTTTTACTTCCTTCGATGAAGAGTGGATTTAGGAATATGAAGTTACACCTATCCTTTCTGTTGATGCTGCTTTCCATGAACATAGTCTGGGGTGATGAACACTTTTATCCTGAACGACATCAGAAACAATCGAGTGCACCAATCAAAGGACTACCTTTTCTGCCTTTCAGCGTAAAAAGTCCTGGTAAGTAATTGTTTTGCTTCTTAAAGTATGAATTTGTTAAGAATGTTGGTTCTTAAGTATCAACCAAGATACTTGCTATTCCATAAATGTTGTTTTGAGAGACAAAAAGTATTGGCTTGGTAAAAGGTAAACCACTCTTGTTCTTTTTCAGATACTTACCTCAATTATTACTATAAAACTGAATACAGAAGAATAACTGCAGGGAATTAGCACATGGGACATTATAATGCTTGAATGCTCTGTCTATAAACTTTTCTGGACCATGCATAGAAAACTAAATTGTTAAAGAAACCACTTCGATGCACTGTCTTTCCATGAGAAAGATTTCAATTGTAAGGAACTGTTTAAATACACATGCCACCAAATATTTTAAAGTAGTTCATCCCAGAGAGATAGATGGGGGTGCTTTTTCAAAACTCACTATTTTATTTATTAGACTTTCATCCCATCTTGATTACTTTATAAATAACTCAAGGTGATGAACATGCCTAATATTCGTTCCTCCTCGCCATTTTTCCCCACAACAACCCTATGAGGTCGATTGAGCTGAGAGAGAGAAACTGGCCAAAGTCACCTAGCCAAATTTCATGCCTAAAGAAGAACTAGAACTCCCAGTATGGTGGTTTCTAGGCCAGCAACTTTACCACTATCCAAAACTAGCTCTTCAGATTTGTGATCAGATGTTTAACTGATGCATTGATGAAAGACTAGAAAGCAACACAGAACACATTCTAAGGTGTTCCAATTGTGATTTTAAAACACCTTCTCCAGACTATACTTTTGCGGTCTAATATTCAAAAGGCTCAAGGCAAAACAGGGAAAATGCAAACTGAAATCATTTGTTTTCACTTCCTTTCTTTCTCAAAACATAACAATTACAATATAAATGATGTGCCAACAGCAACAAGTGCATGGAAATACTATCAGTAGCACCCATCACTAAAACTAAGCTCTGAGATTTGTCGCAATGATTTTGTTATCCATCCCACTTCAAAAGACCAGCTAACAGTAAAATGGAAAATAAGATACGTTTCTTAGCATGATACTAAGATTTGAAGTAAAAGTTCAAAATATATATTTTCTCCTGTTAAGACAGGCTCATTGACAGCAGAATACCTAACGTGACCACTAGGTGGGCAACCTTCTAGGAAACAAGTAGACAGCCTGTGGCCCTCCAAAGCAGAGGTCCCCAACCTTTTGGGCACCAGGGATCGGTTCCATGGAGAGAGTTTTTTTCATGGACCAGAAGGGGTATGGTTTTGTGTGCTGCCTGCATCCCGCGGATAAGGCTTTGCTTGTTTGTGCGGCCTGGTTGCTGGCATGCTGCAGACTGGTACTGGTCCACGGACCGGGGGTTGGGGACCCCTGCTCCAAAGGATGATGAATTGCAAGTCCTATCATCTTTGGATTTAATAGAAACTGAAGATCAATAATATCTGGCAACTTTACCATACGGACTTCTCTATTGTCCTGTCCTGCCATTCATGCATGGATTTAGCTTTCGATTCATTTAGGTAATACTATTTAGGAATAGTACAAAGAAATCCAAGAGGATTTATTTTAAATGCAAAATCCAAGAACTTCATTCAGTTCAATGGAAATATAAAGCCTTTAATGAGAAGTTATGGTGAGGCTGAAATTTCGCATTTCATAGTAGTAACAGGAATATCAGACAAGAAATCTTTTTTTTTCTGAAAAAGTTCCAACTTCAGATTTTATTATATGTTCTAACTTTGATGCAGAAGTTCATTTGTTAGATGGATTTTAAAATGCTAACATATGCTTCAAATTTAAGCCAGTGTAATATTAGCTGATGAAAGTTAAATTTTTCTTTTTTATATATATTCCATTTTTGTTTTTAGGGTTTGGTTAGCAATCAGGGTAGGAAGGAGTAGCATTAATCAAATAAATAGTTCTATCATCACAATCAACACCACCACCATAGGTGAGGAACTTGTAGCTCTCTGGATACATCCATTACAATTTTTATCCTTTCTTGCCATTATATCACGTTAACTGAGGGTACTAAGAATTGTAGTGTCTAGAGGATGCTAGATAATATGGCAGACTTACAAGAAAGGAACTATTCTGAAATACCCAGTAGTGAAATTACAGAACATGAGGTATTTAAAAAGCTTTTTAATTACAGGTAATTCTCAGATTTCTTTGTAGGATGCTATAAAGATTAACATTGCAGTAAGACTTTTGCAATCACTCTTCCTTACATTCCTTGCTTGGTTCAAAATTATCTTAAGTAAGATATACTGCACAATTCATAGCAAAAGTGTTAATTAACAGGAAGGTAAAACCAAGTCAGGAATCTAACAGAACTGGCTACATTTTTCTAAGTTAAATGGATTTTTGTCCAGATTCTTAAACTGCAATTCCATACTGACTTATAACTCTTGCCATTTTAAGGGAATTAAAGCTTAAAACAAAATATTAAGGTTTAAACTTATGCATTTCTAATATGGTTATGCAGGAGTCTACTTTGAAAGAAAGACGGTTGAGAAAGTGATGCATAATCCTTGGGCTGGAAACCATGCCTTGCTTGATTTAATAATTGTCTTCCACACTGGCAGGGGAAAATGAGAACGCATTGCACCAGAATGCTGGCTAGGGAATTCTGGGAGTTAAAGTCCACCCATCTTAACGTTGCCAAGTTTGAAAAACATGAACTAAACCATGACAAGGAGGGTAAGGATCTCCCAGTGCAGCTCCTCTCAGCATAGCACAGTGGTTCTCAACCTGTGGGTCGGGACCCCATTTGGGGTTGAACGACCATTTCACGGGGGTCGCCAAACAACGCAGTCCGCCATTTTTCCCTTTTTCCTTAGCTGTGCTACTCCCTTTTATTCTATTGGCTTTTGAAAGCCAATAGAATAGACTGTCTTGAATAGAGTCTAATTCTATTGGCTTTCAAAAGCCAATAGGAATTGTCCAGGCTGTCTCTGCCCTGCTGAGCCCGCCAAAAGTCCCATTCTGCAAACGGTGCTGCACCAGTTGAGTAGTCCTCGACTTACAACCGGTTGAGTAGTCCTCGACTTACGACCGGTTGGGGGGGTCGCAGCATTAAAAAGGTTGAGAACCACTGGCATAGCACTAATCTCAAGAAAGCCTCAATTTCTCCAATGGAGAAGAGCCAACAGTGACTCCTCCCAGAGATGTGTTTCTCCTCTGCAGGCAAAGATTTGCTCCTGTCTGCTAGAGACAGCAGGACTTGATCTAGTGAGCTTAAGTTAAGGGAGCACTAATTTCAGTTTAATATTATTTGGGATGCTTCTAATTCACATAGTTACTTAGTTCCTTTCTAAAGGAAGTAGCGGCTTTTAATGCCTGAGCATCCGATACTATACTAATACAAGCTATGCGAATAGGGCTGATACTCAGCAACTGGTTGCATCCTGAAACAACATTCCCACAATGACATCCTCTCCACCCTTTTTATACAAATAAGGATTTCCATGCAGCTTTACTTGTATACTTGGGTCATTCAGGCTCGTTGATTCTAATATAAAGACTGGCAATTACTTTTAAAATGATTTTTCCAGAATAAAATGTAACTCAGGGATTAACAGACCAGCGAAACACTGTGGACATAGTATACTTAGATTTCAGTAAGGCATTCAACAAAGTAGACCACAATCTACTGCTTGGTAAGCTAGAAAAAGGTGGAATATATAACATCACCATCAGATGGATTTGTAGCTGGCTGACAAACCATACTCAACGGGTAGTCCTCAATCGTACTACATCCACATGGGGAGAAGTAAGCAGTAGGGTACTACAAGGCTCTGTCTTAGGCCCAGTACTCTTCAATATCTTAATCAATGACTTAGATGACGGAATAGAAGGGGAACTCATCAAATTTGCAGATGATACCAAACTGGCAGGAATAGCCAACATCCCAGAAGACAAGCTCAGGATTGAAAAAGATCTTGACAAATTGGAACAATGGTCCCTATCCAACAAAATAAGTTTTAATGTGGAGAAAAGCAAAGTTTTACATTTATGTAGGAAAAATCAAAGATATAAGTACAGATTAGGTGAGACCTGGCTCAAAAACAGTAAATGTGAGAGGGATCTTGGAGTCCTAGTGGACAATGTGCAGCAACAGCCCAAAAAGCTAATAACATCCTGGATTGCATAAACAGAGACATAGAATCAAGATCACGTGAAGTACTAGTACCGCTTTATAAAACCCTAGTGAGACCACACCTGGAATACTGTAACCAATTTTGATCACCATACTACAAAAAAGATGTTGAGACCTTGGAAAAAGTTCAGAGAAGAGCAACTAAGATGATCCAAGGCCTGGAGACTAAACATATGAAGAATGGCTGCAGGACTTGGGTTTGGCTAGTCTAAAGAAAAGAAGAAACAGGGGAGACATGATAGCAGTATTCCAGTATTTGAGAGGCTGCTACAAAGAAGAGGGCGTCAAACTATTCTCCAAAGCACCAGAGGGCTTTGGAAACTGATCAAAAAGAGAAGCAATCTGGAATTAAGGAGAAAGTTCCTAACAGTGAGGACAATTAACCAGTGGAACAGGTTACCCTCAGAAATCGTGGGTGCTTTATCACTGGAGGTTTTTAAGAAGAGACTGGACAGGTTCTCCTGCTTGACTGTGGGGCTGAACTAGAAGACCTCCAAGGTCCCTTCCAGCTCTATTCTATTCTAATAAGCTTATTAAAGATCACAGATACTCTGAACAAGTAAACTGAGTAATGTTAAAATCATTTTTCAAGTTTTAAATCAGGGGTATCCAATCTTGGCAACTTTAAGATTGTGGATTTCAATTCCCAGAATTCTCCAATATGGATGGCTAGGGAATTCTGGGAGTAGAAGTCCACAGATTTTAAAGTTGCCAAGGTTGGACACCCCTGTTTTAGATGCTAGGCTTCCTACTGAACTTAATGGCTTTTACGTATTTGTGGATATGCTAAATGTGGACATAGGAAAAATTTTAACCCGTTCAATGAAGTACTGACAGCCATATTATAACTTTCATAGGTTCATGGGATTTTTTGTGCAGTTCCTGGAAATGATTTTCACAAGGCATTTTGGATACAAGTTAAAAGAAGACCAAGTAGATTTACTAAAAGCACACAAAAGTAAACCTATTTCCCTAAAACACTTATTTAAAACTTGCAAGAATGGATTAGCTCTTCCCAATGACAAACTGACAAAGATGTGAAAAATGTGTATGCAGCTTTGCTATTTTGTCGTCAGCTCAAAGAAGATTTATCAAGAGAATACATCTTAGTCATTCCTAACATAAATAGTGAAGCAATTACACAAACCCCTTAAGACAGCTACAAACTTTTATAACATAAATCATTTTACTTACTTGGGTTTGTTATTGCTACTCCCTTCTGTTAGGTTTGCCAAACATGATTCCAGTACTCTGGAGTGGTCTCTGGCAAAACATTTGCTCAAAACTTTCCATTGTATCCAAACAGATGCCTTCACTAACTACTAAGTAGTTCTTTTCTTTTAGAAAAGTTCTTTATGTTAATGTCAATGCACAATTTGAAATTGGGCATTGGAGAAACATAGCTTCATACCCAACCTGAAACTTTCCATGTCTGTTAAGATGACAACTCCCAGAATTCTAGTGACTATGAATTTTGGATACAGTAATCCAATAACATAGAAGGCATCTGGTTGGGAAAGCTGGTTTAAATTATTAAAAACGTAATATAATCTTGAGATCAAATCTAACACACACACACACACACACACACACACACACAGAGAGAGATATGTATGTGTGTGTATATATATATATGTGTGTGTATGTATGTATGCATGTATATTATATGTATATGTATATATATATACACATATACATACATACATACATACATATACACACACGTACATACACAAACTTGATACATACATACATGTACATACATTTATGTAGAAGGTCCCTTATAGATTCTGTATTTCTCTGCAAGGAGATAACATTCCTTTGTTTTCTATGGCTTCTACGTGGTTGCATGGCTCCCTCTACTGGTTTAAAAATACCCAAAAAAACCTGCATTAATATTAGAAACTTAAACATAAACACACCGAAGTTCCTGTTCCAAAACCAGGTAAGAGTAGCCCATTCTGAATTTTTTTCTCTCTTTTAAATAATAGAATAAATTACTTTTCAGAGGCTGCATTAAAACACAAGGATCATGTTCAACTCACTGAATGCCACTTTTAGGAAAGGTGACCTATGACTTTGGATCACTCATTCTCTATCAGCCCAACCCATCTCAGAGGGTTTTTGTCGGGAAAATAGGACAAGGGAAATGAGAAGCACTACATCCATAATCTGCTGGAATATGCATCTAGTAAATAAAAAATAATAATATGTACACTTTTACTTTCACTTGAGCTTTGCAAGTGAATTTGAACAGGATTGTTCTCTTAGAAACTGGCTCTGCCCTTCAGCAGGATGTTTCAAATGCTGGAGAAGAAAGGACGGTAGATTGGGTCTCAGAAATTCTTGGACAACTAACACATTAACTAGTCTATCCCTGCCCTTTTCCCGGATAAACCACATCTCCTTCCTTTCTACCTAATGGAAATATCATTGCGAGGCCAGGTACAGGTAGTCTTTGAGTTACAACCATAAAAGGAGCCTGCCCATCACAGTCGCAAGTTGTGATGGTCAATTTTTGTGGCACTCATTATGTGAATCACCATGTTCATTAAGCAAAACAAGGGTTCGCTATGGGTACAATTTTGCTTAAAGCCAGAAGGAAATAAATTTAATAAATATATGCTGATTTTTGGCAAAACCACCATTTTAAAATGTGGTCATGTGGTAGCCGGATGCTGCAAACGGCAGTAAATGCGGCCTGATTGGCAGGCGACGGAAGTACAGTCACATCACGGCACAGGAGGGTGACCATCAGATTTCTGAATCCGGATTGTAAGTACCCCCACAGATAGATTTGTGAACTTCAAAGAATTGCTAAGCGACCAGTCGTAATTTGAGGACTATCTACGTGGGAATGAAAATAATATTTTCATATCAGGTGCCATATGCTAAATAAATAAATAAATAAGTGATGTCAGGCAATTCATTCTCCTGAGACACAGCTACACTTATCTGTTCTGCCTAGGCTTTGTATGATTTAACTTCTTCAGTTAATGGGATCACACTCATTCAGACAATCAAGGCACTTGTGAAACAGGCCTTCTTTCTCTATATCAGAAAAATGTAGACAGGTTTAGAAGAAACAGAGATTCAGACTCTTACACTTTCTCTGCTTCTGTGACTCTGACTCCAAACATCTCAAGTGCAAAGAGAAAGGTGCTCATCAAATATCTACAAGGAACACAGTACCTGTGACTGACAATTCTGGAAATGGTCCTTTACCAACAGATTTGTGTTGTTTTATGTTTTATCACAAAAAATGAACTTTACTGTAGTGATTTTCTTTCTTATGAGAAAGTACTGCAGGTTCCAAAATACAAACAGTCCATTAAAATCATGACTAGGAAGCAACCGTCAGCTTTGCCATATGTAAAGATTTTGAAATTTCACGCACATTAAAGCCAATGAGCTGCTTTCAGTTTGTGTTCATGGAATCTTCATCACACTTTCACTATTTAGCTTCTTTTTTTTGCTAGCTATTAAAATGCAACTGTGCTTTTGTTTTCTAAGGTCAAAAATTATTCAACAGATGTAAACAAGTTGCTTGAAAGGATTTCCCCCCCCCCTTCCTTCCTTCCTTCCTTCCTTCCTTCCTTCCTTCCTTCCTTCCTTCCTTCCTTTCCTTCCTTCTTTTCCTTCCTTCCTCCCTTGCTTCCCAAATGACTCACAATAAAAGATAAACAAATGATCACATTATAAGAAATGACTGTAACTGAACTATGTGTTAAGTGGCATAAGGTTTTTTTTAATAGACATTGTTAGAAACATGTAAAATGTCTGGAGGTACGTCTACCTGCCCTTCTGAACCATTTAATTCCTATGGGATATTAACTGTCTTAATGTTGTTTTAGTTTCACAGGCAAGGGGAGAACCAGGCCCTCAAGGCCCAGCAGGCCATCCTGGCCCTAGAGGCTTCCCAGGACCTCCAGGAGAGCCAGGAAAACCAAGCTATGGAAGCCAAGGGCCTCCAGGACCTGCAGGACCCCCAGGACTTTCAGCGGTGGGAAAGCCAGGCACCCCAGGCTTGCCAGGAAGACCAGGAGACAAAGGATTCCCTGGTGAAAAAGGAAGCATGGGGTCTGCTGGTCTTCCAGGGCTAAGAGGTCCCCCGGGAGCCCCTGGTCCTGCAGGAATTTCTATGGCGGGGAAGCAAGGACTTCCAGGACCCCAAGGACTAAGAGGCATCCCTGGGGAAAAAGGTGTCCCGGGTGCTCCTGGTATCAAAGGGCAAAAGGGAGAAAGCGGGTATGGGGTTCCAGGTCGTCCAGGGGATAAAGGCCTGCCAGGGCCACAGGGGCCTCCAGGACAAGCAGGGATAGGAAGGCCTGGGGAAAGGGGGTTTCCAGGGCAACCAGGTGTTAAAGGGGACAAGGGTTTACCAGGCTTACCAGGACCAGTTGGACTTCCAGGTCCCCAGGGCTCTCCCGGGAGACCTGGGATGCCTGGAAAAGGACTCCCTGGCTCCAGTGGATCACCTGGCCTCCCAGGATCCCCTGGGGCAAAAGGACATCCAGGTCCTCCAGGCTCAACTGGGCCCTCTGGTCTCCCAGGATTTGGAAAACCTGGACTGCCAGGGATGAAGGGAAATAGGGGGCCTGAAGGATTCCCTGGTAGTCCAGGACTCAAGGGAGAACAAGGCCCAGCTGGTATCCCTGGAAGGCCTGGACCAGTCGGGCCACCTGGAGAAACAGGTCCTCGAGGGCTGAGAGGTGGCACTGGTGCAAGTGGCAGACCTGGGCTCAAAGGGGAAAGAGGTCCAACTGGTCCATCAGGATTACCGGGGATTAAGGGAGATAGAGGCCTGCCAGGATTGGAAGGCAGATCAGGGAAGCCAGGATTTTCTGGATCCAAAGGCTTTCCAGGTGTGGCAGGACCCAAAGGAGATCCAGGCCCCGCTGGGCCATCTGGTTTACCTGGACCAATGGGCTCACCAGGACCTAAAGGTGCAGCAGGAATCAGTGGTGGGCCAGGTCCTAGAGGATCACCTGGAATACCTGGTATAAGGGGACCAGTTGGCCCTTCAGGTATTCCAGGACTCCGTGGCAGCAAAGGGGATCCAGGTGCACCGGGATTACCAGGTCCAGCTGGAATTTCATCAAAAGGTACAGATGGACCTATGGGACCAGCTGGACCTCCAGGTTCCAAAGGCCACCCTGGAGAGCCTGGCTTGCCAGGCCCTCCTGGCCCCCCTGGTCCTTCAGGGCAAGCCCTGGCAGGAGTGCCAGTTATAAAATCTGGTGCCACTCAAGGTCTCACTGGCCAGCCGGTGTCCGCTTTCACTGCCATTCTCTCCAAAGCCTACCCTGCATCTGCTACTCCTATCCGATTTGATATAATTTTGTACAACAAGCAACAACACTATGACCCCAGATCAGGCATCTTCACCTGCAGGATACCAGGGCTTTACTACTTTGCTTATCATGTTCATGTCAAAGGCACGCATGTTTGGGTGGGCCTGTACAAGAATGGCTCACCCATCATGTACACATTTGATGAGTACAAGAAAGGGTACCTTGATCAGGCTTCTGGTAGTGCAGTGGTTGATCTCATGGAAAATGATCAAGTCTGGTTACAGCTGCCCAACAATGACACAAATGGCCTTTATTCTTCAGAATATGTCCATTCCTCTTTCTCAGGTTTCTTATTTGCACAAATGTAATATTCAGCACAACAGAAACACGCATCCAGGTATATGTGTATGTAGTTCTACATATACAATGGAATTAACAAAATTAACATTACATTTCTAAAGTTCATAATTTAAAAAAAAATAAAAAAAATTATTCACAAGGTACAATCATTCTATATGGCAACACTGAGAAATGCATTTTACTTGCCCACATACTGAAAAGCTAATTAAGATGATTTCTACCAAGATTATCCCCCCCCCCCAAAAGGCACCACTATCAAAATCTCCTTTCACAGATGTGTTGGGCTGTAATACCACCAATACAAACAAATGTGCAATACGTAGCTTTAAAAAACTGATCAGAAAAGGCAAGAAATGCAATATATTCTGTTAATTCTATAACTAAACATTTTCAATGAAATATTTGCATCACAAAATGAATCCAGGTGAGCATCTGAAGTGTCCAAATGTGCAAGTACTAGTAATAGGTGATCACATTCACTGTAGATATTTAATACTAAATTGACAGTATTATAATCCTCAGAAAATATTTCAAATGAGTACTCTTCACAGAATGTCTGTTTACATACAACTTTCAGAGAATGATAGAACTACGAAAGCTAGGAAAACATTTTAAGCTGCTTTAACCTTATGGAGTGTGTACAATTAATAACTAATTGTACCACTGTGCAGTCAGTCTACATTTTATTAATATTACATCCCACAGCAACATTTTGATTCCAAACCATTTGCACAAAGTCAATATAAATGGCCTGTACTGTGTTCTTTTAAAACCAGCATTCTACAGTTTGTTCTAAAAATGTCTAGTTCTATCTGTCCATTTTGATTAAAAAAATTATAAATAAAAAGTGAAACATTTCTTTCAGTTTCTCTGATCATTTAATGAATTTAGTGAAAAAGCAGTGTTATTATCCTAAATGCTTATTTTGAGAAAGTAAAGTCTTCTAGGTCTAATTCTGTCAATTATTTTTACGGTATTGTAGTGTTTACTTTACGTTCCTCTGGGAATTTCTGAATACAGGTTGTAACAGGTTTAATACATACATACATTTATTTATTTATTTATTTATGAGACTTATATACCGCTTTTAAGTTCAAGCACTCTCTAAGCGGTGTACACCAGTAAGCAATGTATATATATATTTACATTGCCCCCAACAATCTGGGTCCTCATTTTACCTACCCCGGAAGGATGGAAGGCTGAGTCAACCTTGAGCCGGTGAGATTTGAACCGCTAACCTGCTGAACACAGTCAGCTAAAGTGGCCTGCAGTACTGCACTCTAACTGCTGCGCCACCTCGGCTCTTTTACATATGTAAGTGTTCAGTCTTGTGCTGGATTCATATTATGTAAAGTTAAGGACAGGAGATGAATATTTACAAAAGCAGGGATAAAAGTGAGAAAATGTGTAACAGTTTCATGTTGTATGTTTTTCATATGGCTCATCCCCTAATGCCTTCAAAAACATCTCTCAACCTACCACTTAAACCAAATTTTCCAGCGTTAGCCTTGCAAGGTTGTCCAGATAAGAACTATGAGTACTAGCTCCATTTTTACTGTAAGGTTACATTACCAGAAGGTTATATGAGGTTACATTAACAGAAACTTGCAATGTATCATTCACGCTAACTATCCCCAAGACTAGGGAAGGTCCCTTCCCAGATATTTTTCTTCTTTGGACTCAAAGTTCTCTGATCAGACCATTATCTAGGCCAGGGGAGGCAACGTTGGCTCTTTTATGACTCGTGGACTTCAACTCCCAGAATTCCTGAGCTAGCCTGGCTCAGGAATTCTGGGGGTTGAAGTCCATGAGTCATAAAAGAACCAAGGATGCCTACCTCTGGTCTAGGCTGAGTCTCTCCCCATCTCCCAAGGTATTTCTCACACACCATTACATCTTTGTAGGTATAGTGAAGATTGAGTAGTCTCATTTTCTAGGTACTCCACAGAATCAAAAACTCCTCTATTTGTGTTTGATTTTCCCTCTAAGGGTCCCCTCCCACAGGATAAGCCAAAAAGTGTGCTCCTTTATTAGCTACAAAAATGTTTCAATAAAAATGTTATTAATTGCAAGAAAACATTCTATCGATAGAGGAGAATATTTGTAGCTCAGGACTGAAATGAGGGGTCCTTGGTGCTCTCTGAGCTTGGTTGCTTTCTTGCAGGCATTTCATTATCCAAACTAGGTAATTTCATCAGTGCTAGTAGGGAGTGGGGTTTGCTCTCTGTTTATAGTCTAGTGGCTTGCTCTGGGGTGGCCTTAGAGATTCTTTGCTTGGGCTGTTTACTCTTAGCTTGTTTGGCCATTCTTTGGAGTATTGTTTGCTGCTTGATTGCTACGATTCCAATTCAGTCCACATCAATATATTTTAATTGTGAAAATGCACAGCCAAGGCCAGCTATGCTTTGACAGATATACGAAAAGCACCTTCAACAAAGAAATAGCCCTTGAAAGACAGGGAAGCCACTCACCTTTAAAAGCTGATGTTTTATAATTATACTGTATGGCAGCAACCATATCCTTCCAGAAGTCATATTTTCGTCTAGAGCTGTGCTGCAAGCATAAAGAAACCCCGTTGCCTTTTTCATTGTAAATAGTTTTTCTAGCAAACAATGAGAAAATAAGCTAACAATCGCAAGCATAGTCTGAAATACAAGGCAGCCACATAGGGTTTCCTCATTCAGGATTCCAGCCAGTCCTTTTTCCTTACTCCATCACCCTGTTTCTGTTCTTCATCCCTCCCTGACTTTGCTAATTAATATGTAGGACTGGATTTACTCATGTTATGCAAAGATGTGTTTATGCTCTTTCATTATTGCATTATTGGCTTGATTTTTTTTTTTTTACTTTTCTCTTCCTCTTACTACCAATTCCCTACATTGGGGGGGGGGGAATCAAACTGCCAGCCCGTGGGCCGGATGTGTCATGTGGAAGCCGCGCCCACCCCAGCTCCAGCAAGGGGAAAAAAGTCACAATACATTGTGACATATCACGTGGCGAGTTTGACATAAAAGAGTCATTTTAATATTAAAAAAAACCCAAAAGCAAAAACACTATTCATCACAGGAAGGGAGTAAAACCGATTCCTCACAGGCATCACTATAGTACATAAATGATGGTTGCTGATTCTTACAACAAATCTTATCTGTTTACAGATGACTATTTTGGGAAACTCTCTTCTTAATGATGCCTAACATGAGCATAAAAGCCTTTTTTTTCATGGGGGTCTCTGGATGAAGCAACACTGGCCCACTGACCCAAAAGAATATGGAAGCCAATCTAAAGAAAGGAATGTATTTAATAAAGTTTAGAGTCTTGAGAAAAAAATAAAAATAAAAGCTTCATTTCATGCTTGCTTGCTTTCCACAGGACATAGTTTCCCTTATCAGACCTACATTTTTATCCATCTTTTCAGGTTTTATACAAAAAAAAAAAAAAAAAGAATACATTTGAAGCAATAATGGCAGGTTAGTAGAACATATATAGTAATAAACACACGAAAAAAAGAATTTGCCTGCTTAGTCCATAAATCTTCAGAAAAAGAGATTTATTAGGATTTTCACAGAAATGATATCTGAGTTTCAGGGACAAGCCAATAAGCAGAATCAGTGTCCTATTCGGAGGTATGGCTGTCAAATGGAAACAGAGATAGGCATGGACACTCTTTAACTCCCTAAGAAAAGAAACAAATTCCTTCAGAATTCTATAGATATATGATTTAGTTCTAGCTCAGGCATGTCAAACTGCCAGCCCGTGGGCCGGATGCATCATACTAAAACCGCGCCCACCCCATTGCAGGCAATGGGGAAAAAGTTGCAATACGTTGTGTGACGTCACGTGATGTCACAAGTTTGACATGCCTGTTCTAGCTCATTCCTGTGAGTATTAGGAGGAGCAGAAGCAGGAGGAATATTAATTCAAATGTATCTCCCTTGAGCTCCAAATCTGATGCTCCAAACCTAATTAGTACTTACTTTGTCTAAACCATCCACAATCCGTCCACAAAGAAGTGACCCGGGCAGATCAAAGTAATTGTCATAGGCATAGTATTTAGCTGCAAAGACAAGAAATGGAATGCCATATTAGACAAGTGGACAAATCAACATTTTATTAAGAAAATTAGTACAGTTATTTACTATAATAATATGTGCAAAATTTCCCCTTGTATAGAAATAGAATATCCTATTTGTTATTGCTCAAGAGACATCAAGATGTTGCAGAATCATACAATTAAGAGTTGCCTTCCAAATATCACTGTAGGAAATCAAAACTTATGCATGAATTCTTGGATACATTACCAATTTCCAGGAGGTTAAGTGAGAGAAAAGTCTGGAAACATTGTTTTTTAGTGATGGCACTGGACCTTTGGAATGCACTCCTATTAAAGATTTGTCAGGTTCCAACAATGTCTGCTTCCAAAACAGTTGGAGCTTTTCTGAAGGGTAGTTCCCCCCACCTTTTTTTTAGGAAAAAAAAACCTCACAACTTTATCCCTCTCAAACTCTCCCACTCATCATATCTTCTCAGATTATATACAGAGCAAGATTCAGCCTGACTTCTTCATTAGCTTTGGGAATAAGCTTTCAGAGTCTTACTTATATATTGTATATATCTAATATTTAGATATTAGATATATACATATATAATATGTATATATCTAATTTTAGCCTTATATGTAATCTTAGGACATAGGCTTTTTATGATGAACTTTCAATAAATCTTCAGAAAAAGAAAAAGAAAACCTCCCAGTTTTAATATTGTAACACATTAATTATAGGAAAACCTGTATTATATTTATAGGGTCCTTGGTGCTCTCTGAGTTTGGTAGTTTTCTCGAAGACCTTTCATTACCAAACTAGGCAACCTCATCAGTACTAGTAAAGAGTGGGGTTTGCTCTTATTTGTTATACTACTGGTTTGCCCTATCAGTGTTGGTAGTTCCTTGATTAGGCTATTGTTTACTATTAACTTGTCTGACAGCTCCTTGATTGGGGTTTTGTTTGCTTCTTGATTGCTGGTCTAATGTCTACTTCCAACTAGAGAAAACACACAAAACCATCAGACATCTTCAAAGGAATAAAATTCACTAGGGAAAAGGAAAGCAACAACACATTAATCTTCCTGGATATCCTCATTAGCAGAGGCAATGACAGCAAATTAGAAACACTAGTCTATTGTAAAACCACCCACACCAACTAGATGCTCCACTACCTAAGTAACAACCCAACCTCCCACAAAATAAGCTGTGTTAAGAATACTATTTATATGAGCACAAACATACTTATGTCAAGGTAATAATTTAATAGCTAAACAGCTTATGTAATGATGTAATATAACATAAGGTGGATGATGCAATGATAAGAATGACTCAACATTAAGTACATGAGTATAAAAGGGAAGGCTTTTGCTGGAGTGTTTCTCTCTCCTCTGTTTCCTCCTGTAATTGCTGTGTGTTGGAGTTTGCTGTATTACCACGTGTATGCATTTTGTTCCTGGTGTATATTGTAGATAGTGTATGATAAACCACCATTTAATATAGACCACTGTTTACTGTGTTTACCCCTGGGTTATCTCAGCGCAATAAGACTATGCATGCTCTCACACTTCAGCAACTCTGAACATCAGAAAAAGGAAACAGGTCATTTATACAACACCTTCCGACAAAATGGATACCCACGCAACTTCATCAAAAAGTGCCTGAGCAATACATCAACACAAGTTGTAAAAAAAATAATGCGGCCATACATCAAAAATCTCAGAAATCACCAACACCACTATTACAACTACATTGCCTGACCGTACAATATAAACAAACTAAAGCTCTCCAAAACATTCTAAGTAAACCAAAAGACCCCCATCCCCAGAAGAAAAAACAGGTGTCATCTACAACATACAGTGTAAGGACTGCAAAAGCCACTATGTAGGGTAAATAGGTAAAAAACTGGCAGAGCACGTCCATCAACACTAACTAGCATCACAAGACATTATGAAAACTCCTTAATTTCACAACACATGGATAGACTTAACTATAGTTTTAACTGGGACACTGTGAGCAACTTAGACTAAGCCAAGCCAAGCCCCCACACACTAGAAAATTCCTGAAAACCTGGAACATAGACAAATCAGCCATCAATAGGCACATTGACGTAAACAACATCTACACACCATTCTAAAAAGAGACAATCAAAAAAACAAAAAGGAAACAAGAAGACCAAAACACTCCTCACCTGCAGTCAACATTCAGATGAGCCAAGAGTAATATCAAGATTAACATTAGACCAACAATCAAGAAGCAAAATAATACTCTAATCAAGGAATTGCCAAACAAGCTAACAGTGAACAACAGTCCAATTAAGAACCACCAAAACCTTTCCTCCTAACACTGACAGGGCAAGCCACTAGAATATAAAATGAGAGCAAACCTTACTCTCCAGTAGTACTATGATGTTACCTAGTTTGGTAATGCAATGTCTGCAAGAAAACAACCAAGCTAGTAGAGCACCAGGGATCCCACAAATATAGCACTATAGCATCAACCTATTATATAGGCTATGTCCATGTAATACCTGAACGAGAAATCATTCCGCTCATTGTCTTAAAATGTTTCCACTCCTTCCTTCCATATTTCTCCAAGATCTCTCCAGCAGTCATACGTTTTGTACCATGACTTGCCCTGTTTGAGGGACAAATCAGATATGTTATTATACTTTATGTTCTTTGATTTCTCCCTTCCAACATTATAATAGAATTCTATAACTGCTAAAAAATGATCATTTACAGATTAAAATTAACCACCTATAAAATAAGTAGAATTAATTTGTCCTATTTACACATACCAACTTATATTCTCTCCCTCACACAAAAGTTATAGAAACACATGCACCCTCCCTCTTTCCAGTAGTACTAGCAGAGAAGAGGAAAATAGAATGTGGATGAGTAAGAGATAGTTGAACTGGGTAAGGAAGGGAAAAGAAGCATGGGCTGGAGACAAGATGACAGGAAGATGGAACTGAATAGGCAAAGAAAGAAAAGTAAGAGGATTTGTTTAAGAATTTTAAAGTTTTAACTATATTAGGCAAAACAACTTTGCCAAGGAATGACTGCTCTTCCACAACATCAATGATCTTCAGTAGTGATGTTTGCCATCATTCACAACTCTTTGCTTTTAATGATACCCGTTATTATTTTGATAATTGTTTTGTCACTTAGTGACAGCACTCCTGGTCCCAATTGCTGTTGTAACCCAAGGATTGCCTCTATTAGAAGTAAATTATTATTATGATCAGTTAAGTGGGAGACAGGGCTTAAGGCAGACTCCCCAAACTGGTGGTCTCTAGATTGCTCAGAATTACAAAAACAATATTAGAATCATGACAGGATTGATATGAGATAGAAATTCAAGCCCTGTGGCCTCAATACATAGGAGAGGGATGATATGATTGTACTTTGAAAACAGAACATTGTGAGAAAGTTAATAAATTATGTAACATAAACTTTTAACAAGAATTTAAATGTTACCTCAAAATAGTTCCATCATCTGCAAGTTTAAGAAAGTTCCCTTCTTCCAAGTCCAGCACCAAGCCCTTGCAGCTATACGAGTTCAGGTTCGCCAATGGAAAAAGAAAAGAAGGTACATTATGAGCAAGCTTCAAAATACATGGAGACCCTGTAAACTATGTTACAGACTGCGGTCTTAAATGCTACAGGGGCAGTAGAAATAATCAGGAGATAATCAGAGATAATCAGCACTTAGTATTAGATCAGACATGTCAAACTCAGGACATCATGTGACGTCGCGCAATGTATAGGGACGGTTTTGCCATTGCCGGCAATGGGGTGGGCGTGGCTTCTGCATGATGCGTCCGGCCCATGGGCCGGCAGTTTGACACCCCTGTATTAGATGAATACCTAGGAGCTTAGCATAACTTGCACAATATGGGAAAAGGATATTAACCCATAGTCTATGTTCCTAATCAATACAATCAAGAAACTAAATATTTTGGAAAATACATGGACAGGCCAAAGGAAATCTATGGCCTTTGACATGTTGACAAAAACCCTTTGCAAGCCCTCAAATTAGACCTCTCAACTAATGTATCCTTCAGTGTCAGAAAGAGAAAGAAAACAAGAAAAGGATGCAATAGAGGCAAATATGTGTAGCTCGGGTGCAGGATGAGGGTGAAGGTTCATTCTCTGAGTGTGTGGGTTGGTTTCCAAATGCCTCATAACAAAACATTCAGAAACCAACCCACAAGCTCAGGAAACGGACCTTCAACCTCAAGAAAAGGATGGTTGACTGGAACACCCTCCCATTTACTCTATTCATATAACAGGCAATGAAAAGGAAGGGTGTTCTCATTCAGCCTCATTCAAAGGCTGCAGAGAAAGGCTTACTTATTTATCATAAGGCAGGCAGAGAATGAAGAAGAAGAAAATGCCAGCTACTCAAAGGATGGGATGAGAATCCATGCTCATCAGAAATCTATTACATATGATGAATTTTTAGTATAGCACAATAAAGAAACATTCTTATACCCAGGAAGTCAGGATAGATATTGTCTGGAGAAAATAGGGAAGTGGGATATAGTCCACCAATATCGCCACCCTATAGCTGCAATCCTATATGTTCTTACTTGGAATAAATTATATTGAACTTAATGTGGTATACTTGCTTCTGAGAGACTGCTCAGTTAATAACTTTTAAATACAGGCAGATTCTTCTTCCAGAAACAACTAATGAGAGAAACAGAGGATACTGAATGTAATTTAAAAAAAAAAAATCACTGACCAGAAATCCCAGTGTTCAGGCATCACATTCAGAAGTTCTTTATTATATCCTTTTTTTTTCACCATGTACTGAGCGAAGCTGTCATATATAAGCTACAAATTAAGAAAAACATTTAATGCTATGTAAAAGTATATTGAGACACTATTGCTTCATATTCAGGATCTTATGAACAATAACCAATGTTCTGTATGTAAAAATTAGCAATGTAGATGAGCTTTTAATTATCTGATTCTTTAGCAAAAGTTAGACTTTAAGAATGGCAACATGTTCAAATACATCAAAGTCCCTCAGGGTGTTCTGATCCTAATAGCAGCTGAAATCAGTTCACAGTTTAAAATGGAGCATTATATATACATAGCAAACTGCTTAAAATACATGAACCAGAGCTTATTAAATAACCATGACTGTAATTTCCATGCATTTATGTTAGTTTTAATAGGCAAACTCAGGAATGTGTACTAGATGTAAAATCCAACCCAACCTTGGACTTACTCTTGTGTAAGAATACATAAAATTCAAAGGCTGACTTAAGAATTATGCCATCATCTAAAATAATAATAACAACAACAACGTGGCAGTGCCTGGAGACAACACAATAGACAAGAAAGAACTGGAGAAGATAACAAAGTACAAAGACCTAGAAATAGAAATACTATGGCAAAGGCAAGCAAGGATAGTATCAATAGTAATAGGCGCCTTGGGTGCAATCCCAAAACAACTTGAATACCATTGGCACTAACAAATTCTCCATTAGTCAATTGCAAAAGGCGGCCTTTCTAGGAACTGCTTCCATCCTGTGATGATATCTGTAATACCATCAAATATTCACATTGCCTATCCCAGGTCCTTGGTAAGGACTCGATAGGTAGACAAAAATGCAAAATCCAGTCTGAACATCTGGCTGACTGTGCGATGATCAATAATAATAATAACAACAATAATAATAATATAATAATAATAAATAAAATAAAAGAACTGTAGGAGTTGTAATCTAAGAAGTCTCTGAAAAGGGAACTCTCAGCATTATATCTTCCAGAGTTTCTCTCTTAGGAAATCATGAAAACTGAACAGCTAGAAAAAAATATTAGTAGTATGTTAGTTAAAGAGCAGATTTTATTCTAGCTATTTATTAGATTTTAGTGTGGTGAGTTTCTTGATATAGGCATGTTTGAGTTGCATATGGATGATGGACCTTTAACTTTCATTAGGATAGATGATCTCCTGAAACCTTGCCACTCCTCCAATCTGCAGAAAAAGCTACTACCCATCCTTAGCCTTATCTTAGAAGTGGGGTTGAAGCAGAGACAGTTGTGCATTGCATGAAGAAATATGTAATTCAGCTTAGCACTGATTTAAAAAAAGAGGGAGGAAGAAACTGGCAAAGAGACACACTTTCTGTTTTACTAAATATTTCCCCCCAAATTTTATATACAAAATATTGCCACACTTGCAGTGAGTTTTTATCTAATTGCATTTAATATCCTGCAATTTTTTTTAAAAAAAATCAAAATCAATTATCCTAAACTAATAAAAAATTAAGAAAATGTAAAAAAAAAATAGAATATACAATTTGAAATCCAGGTACAGTAGTAACACTCAAGAGTTTGGAAACATTGGTAGATTGGTAGAAAGCACACAATTCTGTCTGGGGAGTAAACGCCATAAATTATAATGCAACTTCCGAGGGAACATAAATTTTGAAAGACTAATATCAAAAGCCTACAAGTGTATCTATTCGCAACATCAATAAAATCCCACCGGGTTTGGCAGGAGTTACTGTTTGGTGAAATAGAAGCTTGTAATATAAATAGCACAATCTTATGCATTCCGAAGTTAAGCGCGTTGCTTTTTCATACGATACAGCTTAATTCCGGGCATATGCGTTTTGGCCAGAATACAGCCAGGGTGGATGTGTTCCATCCACCAATTATTGGTCTTCAGGCCAGGAAAAACTCCTGCGCCCCTTTCCGCTTCCTGAAATAACAGAAGTCGATCCCCCTCTTCAACAGCCGGCTTTACTGCAGCCGCATAAAAAGACGTCAGAGCGCCACTTGCAGCGGGCAGCTATATTCGCAGTGCAAACCCTGGGTTGGGCCACGCTGACTAAAATCTAGAATAGATCCTCCTTCTCCTAACCCGGAGTAGCCATTCAGCCAGGCCGAGGCTAGTTCTGCGAAGCTCGCCAGCCATGCGATCGTCGTATCCCGGGGGATCAATGGCATTGAGCTGGTCTACTGGACCCTGGCGGCCATTCGAGCTGGTGGAGTTAATCCACGCGGCCCGCCATCCAACTGCTCCACTCACCCGGGCGCTCTCCACCAGGTTGTAGCGACACAGCGTGTGGTCCAGATCGAAGGCGATCACTTCGCAATCGGTCAGCGAAAAGAACTGGGCCATGGCGGCGGCGGCGGCGGGAACTAGCAAGCGCGCAGTTTCCTTCCCTGTTCCGCGAGGAAACTGCAGCTCGTCTCTGCGTGTAAATTGGTGATGCAACGGCAGCGGCCGTTTCCTGCAGAGGCTGATCCTCTCGCCCTGCTTCGCCTCACCTTTCCTCCAGGGTTTGTTCTAGAGAACCAGCTAAGGCATTAAAAGCAGAGTTGATCTGATCGTATTACTTCCAACTAGCACGAACTCCGGGACTTCGGAAAGAGAAAGTAGAGGAAGGCTCGCGCGTAACTCTGGAGAGGGTTTCATTTGGAAGCAGAACCAGGTTTAAACGTTCATTGATGGAGCACATGGTGTATATGTGGGAGATATAGTCCTCTTCCATACAGGAAAATGAAACAATTTTCTTTGAAGACAAGATTGACTTTTGACAGCAGTTTGAGACTGTCATTTGTGCTCTGATTTGCATGTTAACTGAACAGGTATCATCTAGAATCTATAGAATTTCAGAGTTTTTATTTATGACAGACCTTTTAAATAAGCTATACCTCATAACTTTCCACTTCAGAATGTTTAAAATTGGAACAAGACCCCTGAAGCTTAGCTTGTTCCTGTCTGCCAGATTTATCCAAATAGGCACTGGTGTCTTGTTCACATTAGCAACCAAAATTCAGAAATGTGCTACCATCCAACAGTAATAAAATGAAGATACATGCTTAGAATATTTTTTTCTAATAATCAGTTTTTTTTCTGCTAGTTGAACTGTGTGTTGCAAGTAGAAGATTTAAAATTTAATTATTTAGTTCAGGGGTCCCCCAACCACTGTTTCATGGTCCAGTACCGGCCCGCAGCATGCCAGCAACCACACAAACAAGCAAAGCCCATCTGCGGGATGGAGGCAGGACACAAAACCGTGCAGCCTCCAGTCCACGGAATAACCTCTCTCCACCCTCCAGTCCACGGAAAAACCTCTCTCCACCGGTCCCTGGTGCCCAAAAGGGGACCTCTGATTTAGTTACTCATAATTTATAAGTCACTCATATGAGTAGATGCCTTACTATATATAAAGTGCATTCATAACTCTGCAATTCATAGTAAACTATTAAACTCCATTAATTAAACTCCTACCTCCAGTAAGATCTTATCGTCTAAATGCCCTCTGGAAAAGGATTGTCTTTGCCATGTTTTTGAAGGACAGAAAGATGGGTCTACACAGGCTTCAAGAAAATTATGTTTCAGAGAAGGAGGCTGCTACTAAGAATGTTGTTCTTTGGATCCCAGTCTTAAAGTGTAATCTTTCAGGCACCCAGAGCACTTTCTATGTAATGTATGCAAATTTTATCTGCAGAAGATAACCTGAAGGTAACATTAGCCTCAAGGATCTTGAATGCATCCAGAATCTATTGATAAGCAGTGAAGCTGCAATAGAACAGATATTAGTTTAAACCTAATGTTGGCAAGCAGATGAGCAGCTGCCTTTTGTGCCAGTTGCAGTTTCCAAGTTGTCTTCAAAAACAACTGCATGTACGGTAAAATTGACAGATCATGCAAGCAAGTTGTACTTCTTATATTTAAAGATTGAAATGCTAAAGTTGGAAATAGGAAACAGAAAAATGTAATTGGACTATATGGTCTAGGTCCAGAAAATAGAAATGAAATAGAGCAATTCACTAGTTCCCAGTCAATCCAATTATTACTTCCAAAAGATTTACAATCTAAGACCAGGCCTTAAATTGGTATGCTAAAGGAACATCAATGGGCAGATAGTGACTGATTCAAAGCAGTTGAAAGAAAAATGGCAAGAGTATAAAAGTCTGCCCACTAGAGATGTCTTATCTTAACTCCCTAGAAAATCTAAGAAACTTTAGAAGATATTCCCTATTTACAAGAAACTTTGGTGTTAAGAAGATGATGTTAGATCAGCATTCTGATCATTATGAATTAAATGGCTACAGGAATTGATGAAATATCCATACAAATACGGCAAGCAATGGAAGAAGAATCAGTAAAGCTAACCAAACTGCCAGTAAATCTGGAGAACAATAGTGGCTAATTGGCTGGAAGAGCTTAGCCTACATACAAATTCAGAAAGAGAAAAGGACTTAGCAGATTGTTCAAACTATATCACACGTGTTCCTTAATTTCACATAGCAACATAATGTTTAGGATTATCCAACAAATTAGGGCCCTACATGGAAAAAGAAATGGCAGAAGTTCAAGGTGATTTTAGAAGTTCAGGATGATTTTAAGACTCTGTTCTGGGCTCAGTGTTCTTCAACACCTTCATCTATGATTTGGATGAGGGGATAGAAGAGGAACTCATCAAATTTACAGACAACACCAAGCTGGCAGGAATAGCCAAAACTCCAGAAGAAAGGCTCAAGATACAGAAGGATCTTGACAGAATTGAACATTGGGCGCTATCTTAATAAAATAAAATTCCATGGTGAAAAATGTAAGGTTCTACATTTAGGCAAGAAAAACCAAATGCACAGGTACAGTATAGGTGGTACCTTGCTCAATAGTAGTAACTGTGAGAGGGATCTTGGGGTCCTAGTGGACAATCACTTAAATATGAGCCAGCAGTGTACTGCAGCTGCCAAAAATGCCAACACAGTGCTGGGCTGCATTAACGGGGATAAAATCAAGATCACATGAAGTGTTAATACCACTTTATAACTCCTTGGTAAGGCCACACTTGGAATACTGCATCCAGTTTTGGTCATCACAATGTAAAAAGGATGTTGAGACTAGACTGCAGAGAAGAGCAACAAAAATGATTAGGGGACTGGAAACTTAAACATAAAGAACGGTTGCTGGAATTGGGTATATCTAGTTTAATGAAGAGAAGGATTAGGAGTGACATGATAGCAATGTTTCAATATCTCAGAGGTTGCCACAAAGAAGAGGGAGTCAAGCTATTCTCCAAAGAACCTGAAGGCAGAACAAGAAGCAATGGATGGAAACTAATCAAGGAGAGAAGCAACCTAGAACTAAGAGAAATTTCCTAACAGAACAATTAATCAGTGGAACAGCCTGCTTCCAGAAGCGGTGAATGCTCCAACACTGGAAGTTTTTAAGAAGAGATTGGACAACCATTTGTCTGAAATGGTATAGGGTTTCCTGCCTGAGCAGGGGGTTGGACTAGAAGACCTCCAAGGTCCCTTCCAACCCTATTGTTATTGTTATTATTGAAAAACCAGAGGTACAAGAGATATTGCTGAAGCATGTTCGGACAACCGAGGAAGCAAAAAATAAAAAAATACCAATGATTTATTGATTTTACAAAGATCTTAATTGTGTTGACTGAGTCAAACTGGGGAAATTCCTTTGGAAAGTGGATATCCAGAATACCTCCTTGTTCTTATTTGACACCTGTACACATGACAGAAAGTCATAGTTTAGTATGGCGAAACAGACTGGCTCCAGTTTGGCAAATGAGTAAGACAAAGCTGTATATTCTCTATTTCTTCAGTTTACGTGCTGAATATATATTGAGGGAAACTGGACATTAAAATTGGAGGAAGAAATGTTTGATAGCCTCTGCCATGGTGATGACACTAGTCTGATAGCTGAAAATGCAAATTATCCGCAAGCTGTCATAATAAAGTCAAGGAATGCAATAAAAGTAGTATTCCATTTAAAATATAAAAAGACTAGTGATAATAGTACAGCCACTACCTTTAGAACTGACAATTAAGTGCTAAATAGCTTCTGCCTTTTACAATTTACTAACGACAAAGGAACCAGCAGTCAAGAAATATGCTACAGTATAAAATAACACTTGGCTATTTTTTTAGAATAGCAGTGGAGGCCTTGGAAAAAATGCCTACACAGATCAGAATCGTGCAGGTAGTGGTGTTCCTCTGTGGTACTTAATGGAAGGAAGGATAGTTAGACTTAAAAGCAGGAGGAACAAGAATTTATCAACACTTTTGAACTATGGTGTTGAAGAAGACTCCTAAGAATACCATGGTTAGCCAAGAAAACAAATGGGCCGTCAAACAAATCTATCCAGAGTTAAACTACAAATGAAGAAACTCAGATCACCATATTTGGATATCAGGTGAAGATCTAGCTCCCCTGAGAATTCCATTATGCTGGGAAAGAGTAGAAGAGGATAGCCAGCAGCCAGGCTCAATTAGACTGGTGATAGGTGCACTATTGGAAGATTTAAGGGCCAGTTTGGGGACAGATTATTCTGGGCTAAGGTTTATCCCAGATAAAATGGCTTGATGGTACTTAATTGAATATTAATGAAAATAAATTTAAAAATGACCATGATACCTTCAGCATCTCCTGGTCCAGGAAAGGATGTAGTTAGCAGAATCTCCTGAAACATCAAAGGGTCTCCTCACCACAGCTTTCCCCATTACTCCAGCAGGAATCAAGGGTCCAGGAGAAACCCAAGGTTGCACACCATTTCCTTCAGGGGAAGTTCAACTCCACATAGGACAATAAACATCCACAATACCAGGAGGTTTCTGTAGCAACAATAACTTCATCTTGCTGGTATTCAGCTGTAGTCTTACAGCTGAATACATGCTGAATACGCAATTCTGTTGACTACTCCATGCCAGGCAGCCACTAACTGGACATGAATAGCTCGTACCCAACATTTAAATAGTTCTACCATAACTGGGCTACAAAAACCCAGATTACCACTTGATAGAAGCAAAGAATGATTGGATTTTGCAGCTCAGATAGGGTAGCCAGATACTCAGAAGCAGATCAATGGTCAAAGATCATTTTGTAAATAATTTACATTAGCAATGCTCTGCCTATTGCAAAATACAATTCAGCAAATGCATTTTAGACTAATTAATGAAACATTAAAATCCCAATCCTCTGATACTTCACGTCAGGCAGAGATAAAGATATAATTATGAGTCATATATTCAGTGACATAATTATATGTTTTCAGTTGCAGACCTTTATATAATAGTTACTATTATTTGAATGAATGAAGGACAAAAACTTAAATACCTTTAAGGTTGATGATGGGATGTCTTCTGTGATTTGATAAATGTTTGTTGGGAGCTGAGCAAAAAGGAATAAAAAAGGCAATTTCTTCCAAAGAATATTAGAGTTCTCAAATGAGCTAGTCTCATTTTGCTGAAGAAAAAGTTATTATATTGCTGAAACTTTAGTTTAAAAGAAACTTTCTTTTTATTTATTTATTTATAAATTTATTTGCCATTCACAAGATAATTGGGTTGCTTACAATCATGAAAGATTGTACATACGCGCGCGTGCGCGCACACACACACACACACACACACACACAGCTGAACTGAAGATGGCAAAAGCACAGAAAAGTTATACATTCTCTATCCTTCTATCCAATCATCATTTACATCATCATAAAAGTGTAGCAAAATTGCATGGATATCTCCAAATACAGAACTTTTATATATAATCAGCAACTCAGGCAAAAATTGAATTTGGGGGGTTTCTGGCTTCCAATAGCTTAGCTGTTTATTTTTATCCATTAAATTAAACCAGCTCTCCATGGGAAATCAATTCTGTAACTGAAACAACAAATCTAGGTAACATTAGTATGGCAGTCAAATAACTCTTCTAGGAAATTCCTGCAATAAAATAGCAAGCTATAATATTTCCTTGCATAATACAATTTCCTTTATAGCACCCATGAACAGTGATTAAGCAAGGCATTGCTTGCTGCAATGTATGGACAATTTCACCATCCTCTTTGTTGCCTATAAAGTCA